CGGCGGGATTACCCCCAGCCCTGGATGTGGCCAAGCCCAGCCAGGCCTGGCTGCAGGTCTGGGGCTGATCCCCCTTTTGCCCCCCATCCCCAGCCTCCCCCCACCTCTCCTCACAGGCCTGTGCCCATCCCAGCAGCCCCCTGGGAAACTCTCAATCTTCTCCACCTTTCTCGTGGGCCCCAAACTGGACACGGCATCCAAGGCAGCCTCCCAGGTGCTGCGCACAGGGGATAACCATCCCCAACCTGCTGGCTGCACAGCTCAACTGCCCTGGTCCCACAGCCTCATTCAGCTCTCCTGGGAGGCACGCGCTAACAGCGAGCCAGCGCAGACAACCAGGATGGACACGGCCCAGCTGCCCTCACCACTTGCCCTGGGTATCCAGGAAGGAGCCAGGGGCTGCAGGAAAGGGACAGGGATCTGGGGTGCCTCCCCCAGCTTGGGGGCTGCTGCGACTCACCCAGGTCGGCGTAGTTCCTCCTGCAGAATTGCCGGCGGCCGCCGAAGCACAGGTCAAACGGCTGCTCGTCCGGGCGCCGCAGCTTGTGCCCGCTCTCAATGGCGGCAAAGGCCTCCTCAGCATAGCGGTAGGTGACAAAGCCGTAGTTGTCCCTGGAACCGGACAAGGAAGGAGATCAGCAACAACACAGTACATTTGTGACCCCTTAGCCTGCACCATCCATCCCCTTGAGGAATGGGAAAGGGGGCAAGAGGAGCCATCTCTGGGAAAGGGGCTGCTCCACGTCCCCACAGTTCTTACCCCTCGGAGCGGAAGTGCAGGGTGCACTCCTCAATGTCCCCAAACACGGAGAAACGGTGCCGCAGCTCCGACCGCGTCATCCTGCTGGGGATCTTGCCAATGAACACAACTCGCCGCTCCTCCTGTGGGCAGGGATGCACAGTCCCTGTGAGCTTGGATTGGGGGGGACACCCTGGCTAGCTAGGCCAAGCACCCAAGGATGCGGTGCCTCCAAGGGCTCCTGGTGAACAGGTCGTCCTCCACAGAGCTCCCTCCTCCCCATCGCCACCTGCCACACCATGTCTCAGCCAGGCCTCCCAGCAATGCTGGCTGCAAGGCTGCTCCCCATGGCTCTCTGAAGTGATGGACTGGCTGGGGAGCCCCAGGTCCCCATCCCCGGCTTCCCAGCCCTGCAGCCCACCCAACACTCACTATTGCACGTTCCTTCTGGAGGATCCTCTGCCTTTGGTAGTGGTCCTGCCCGTCATAACTGTATCTGGCGGGGCAGAAAGCAGACACGTGAGCTGCAGGGTCATGGGGGATGCTGAAGACGGCACACCACCCCACCTAGAGCCCTGGCGCTGGCTCCTGCAGCCAAGCAGTGTGGGCCCAGGCTGGCATCGAAGAGTGATCCCAGGGCCTGACAGGGCCAGCACACTGGGGAGATGCACAGAGTGGATCCACCCCTGCTTGGGAAAGAGGAGACTAGGAGAAGGCTCGGGGGAGCTCACACCCTTGCAGAGGAGCTGAGCACTGGTGGGCCACACTCACCTTCTCCGCCTGTTACTCCTCCTGCGAGGAGAGGGGGAGCGGGACCGGGACTGGCTGCGGGACGTAGACCTGGATGAGTAGGAGGATGAGGAGGAGGAGGATGAGGACCTGTCCCGGGACCTGCCACACGACCCACAGCTGGAGCGGGAGGAGGAGCTGTGGGAGCATCTTGAGCGGTACCTGGGGAAGGAGAGACTCAGCTCAGCACCAGGCCCTCCTCCCTGCATCCAGCACCATGAGGCCCTGGGAAAGAGACCTCCATCCTCCCACAGCCCTGGGGCACCCTGCATTCCCACTCAGACAGGGCCCACCAAGGCTGCCCAGGGTGAACAGAGCGACGGAACCATCTGTCTGAGTTTGACGGGGGCAGCCACAGCAGTACAGAGACATTGCTCCACTTGGCTATGAACACCGCAGCCCAAAGGGCCTGGCTCACACCAGGCACAGCCTCCAAAGAGCAAGAACTAGATCTGCGGAAACAGTCTGGCACACACGTATAGCTAGGCATGCACCCAAGGGGGCAGGGACTGCTGTGCTGAGCCCCATAGCACGCAGCCCCACTGCCTGGCCTCTGCGACAAGACCGGGACAGCCCACGGCCTGGCCCAAGGACTCTGGAGCAAGGAGACATCACCACCTGGCTGGGGTGGAAGGTCTGAATGTGCAAACGGCCACGTTGATCACTTTGCAGCCAGGTCCTGGGCAGATGGCCGCTATGGGAGGCCCCAGGATGGAGTAGGGAAGGAGAATCAATGCTTCCCATGCTTCAAAATTGACCCCTTTTGGCCTTGCTGGATATGAGAGGAGGAAGCGCAGCCTTCCTGGTGTGGGGTTATGGGGAGCAGAGCCACCTTCTTCGGGGAGAAGCAAGCCCAGCTGCTGTGCTGAGCTCCCAAAGGGGAACACAGGGTCGGGGTGCAGTAGGCTGAGAACAAGCAGGTGCTGGTGGGGATAGCAGCACCACCAGCTGCTACATTGGAGCTGTCACATCCACCTTGCACTCAAAAGCCAAGCTAACTCAGAGCATGAGGGTCTCTGTACCGAGGGGCATGGGAAAGGCAAGGACAGAACTCGGCTTCTGCACCCACTGCCTCCTGCCTGCAAGAGCTCCTCTCGTGGGGCCAGGCAAAGCTTAAGGGCAGCAGGACTGAAACTCCTCTGGAAACAAGCTGCACATCCTCCAGCCAGCAGCAGGGTCGCTCTCTAAACATGCTGTCCACAGGTGGACCTCGCTGTAGAACAGCTCAGGCCCTGAGCCCAGACAGGGACCTTCAGCCTGGCACTGTCATGCATGCCATCCTGGGCTTGCTCCTGGGCGAGAGCAGGCCAGGATAGTAGAGCCCACAGGGGACATTTCCCAGCATGCGTCCACTTGCTAGAAAACCAAGCCAAAGCTGGCACCTCCCTGAGCTGCATGTTCCTGCTCTCTTCTCCTCCACACCTATCAGCCACTGATGGAGGGGCCTTGGTTGGACAAGCAACTTCAGCACGTCTCTGAAACTGGCTAACGCCTAGGAAGAGGTGGTGAAGGAGCCCGGACCAGCTCCCGTGCCTCCCACTCCAACTGGGACAGGCTGTGCAGGGAGATGTCCCACTACATCACCTAGATGCATAAGGACACCAAAAAAAAAAAAAAAGTTTCCCTGGGAGATCAAGCTGCCCTGCTTTGCTACACAGCCACTTTGCTAAGGAGTGTTGGGAACCCTTAATGCAGGTCAAGCCAGCGGGGCTTATCTCTGCTTTGCTGCAGCACCTCCCTGTTGTGATTGCCGCTCATCTCATTTCTACACCTACGGCTGCAATAGCCCCAGAGCACAAACATTAATACCTAAACACTAATACCACAGAGAAACTGTCAAGAAGCCAAGCCTCCCAAAGCCCTGCTCGGGGACAGCTTTCCAGGCACACCTGCCCAGATGTGGGGTTCAGCCAGATACCCAACTGCCCTCGCAGGGTGTCATACCAGCTCTTCCAGTCTACACTGCTCGCTGCAAGCTGAGCCTCACTTCAGAGGGACCACGTGGAGAAAAAAAAAAGGTCAGGTGCTGCCACCATGAAGCAGGTCTGTGAAGTGGTGCCTGGGCACCCTCCCAAAATGCTCTGATCACAACACAGCTGTGCAAGACACAGCAAAGCCCAAAGAGTGCATGGACACTCCAACACTTACCTTCTCCACCGCTTGGGTGGTGGGGAGAATGACCTTGACCGAGATCGGGAAGATGAGGATGAAGATGAAGACGAGGACTCACTAGCTCCATCTGAACTGGAGCTGAAAGAGCGGCTGGCACGGCTTCTGCCAGCCCTCCAGCTGCCAGCAGAGGGGCTGGGGGAGTCCCGGGGTCTCCGGTAGCAGCGCAAGGACCTCTTGGCAGCAGCACGGCTGGGCTGGGCACTGGAAGTCCGCATCTCCTGGTCCCGGCAGGGGGATGCGGCTGGAGACAGGAGCACCGAGGTGGGGGGGCTGCTGCACCCAGTGATGGCCTTGCTGGGGACGCTAGTCCGATAATCCAGGGGGGCTAGGCAGGCCTTCCCCAGGGGCTCCTGGCTGGGCCCCACAGCAGTGGTGGGGGCTGGAGGGGTGGGCTTGGGCTGGTCCAGCGTCCGTTTGGTTAAGGAGGAGATGGGTTTGATAGTGATGTCCCGGTGGTGTTTGACATTCCAGCGGGAGCCGCTTTCAGCAAGGGGCTGCGTGCCAGTGCTGCTCTCCGGCCGCGCTGTACTCGGGATGCAGTAGTCGTGGTCTCCCGAGCACACGTGGCTAGGGGTTGAGCCAGGTGGGGCAGGCGCTGGGCTCTTCCCCCGGAGCTTGCTCTGGGGCAGCTGTTTGGCTTTCGTGAGCTTGGCGGTCTTCTGGGTGCCTTCCTGGGGCGCAGACCCAGGCGATTTGGTCTTGGCCAGCAACGAGACAGCAGGCAACGGTTTCCAGAGCTGGTGGGGAGGCGTCGCTGGTGGGGTAAGGCCTGTAGGAGCAGAGGGCTTTCAAGAGTGGACCTGGGCGAAGCCCCTCGCTGCAACTGCCTGGCCAGGACTCCCACCCCAGCAACCCTTGAGCCCTGGAGGCCCTTCCAGCAAACCCCAGTCTGGTGACAGTCCCTGCCAGGACACCGCCAACTCCCCTGCCACAGCCCCCACCTCGCTCCCGGGTGTTACCTGCCACGTTGGCCAGCTCGGAGGCCTGCAGGCTGTCTGGGGGCTTCCTGTCCTGCTGGTTCTCGGATCTGAGAACAGGAAAGGAGCTTTATCATAAGCAGTAGCCAAAGCCCTACCCCTGTCTGTATGCTGCAGGCACGGGGAGAGGGCTTGCAGAGTCCCCCAGCGCCAGCTGGGGCACTGCTGCAGGACCCAGGGCACGGAGGTGGTCACGGGATACTCAGCACATGCCCAAGCTTGCATTGCCCTGGGCAGGGGGGACACATAGGGTCTAAAAGAGCTCAGAAGCTCGAGTTCGCATAGCCCCAACCTGCCCGTTGCTGCCTTCCCCAAGCTCTGCCACAGTTCCCTTACCACCAGTTCTGGCCCCCAGCTCAGCAAGGAGCTGTATTTCAGACTAGCTTCAGCTCAGTTCCTCCCAGACCAGCAGATGGAGGCCACAGCGCAGTTCAGACCCCTGCCAGGACCAAGCACCATCCTGCACTGCTGCTGAGCGCACGGCTCAGCCTCTCAGCGCCTCCCCAGAGGCCCCTCTGCAGGACTCCAGGCCAGGACGCTGGCCGCACAGACACCTGGGGCGTGATGTCAGGCCAGGAGCGCAGAGATCTCCGTACTCACCCAGAGCTTGTCACCGGCCGCCTGTCCTCAGGGGGCTGCACAGGAGTCTCTTCCTTCTTGACTGCAAAGACAGCACATATGTGAGGGTGATGGGAGGCCGTGACCGGAGGGCAGGGGAAGAGACCCTGCATACAGGCAGGCACAGACCACTCCAGCCACAGCGAGGAAGATGCTTCACAGCACCCCAACCCAGCTCCTGCAGGGAGCTGCTGAGTGTCCCCTTTCTTCCCTGGCTCTTTGCCACCCTCTTGGCTGCCCCAGAGATCTCCAGACACTTCCACAGGGCAGGAGGGAGATGAAGGCAGAGCACAGAGATGCAGGGTAGCACCAGCCCACAAAGCCACCCCGCTCCCATCCCATTGCACAGCCGAGGCTGGCAGGGAGCACAGACATCCTGGGGATGCTGGCACAGCACAGAGGGAACCTCGCAGGGAACAGCATGCTGCATCCGCACCTTCAGACTTCTCGAACTGCTCCAGCAGGCTGGACAAGTCGGTGGCTTCGATGCCTGGGCCAGGAAGAGAACATGGCAAGTCAGGTCAGCCAGCACCCTCCCGGTGCCGAGGGGACGTGCAGTGCCGAGGGACAGGCCGGCCCCGCGCTACCCCACGCCAGCCTGCCCCAGCCCCAGGGCCAGCTCTGCGGAGAAGCAGCCACAATGCCTGCAGCAGGAGCTCTGCTCCTCTGGCAGCAGGGACAAGATTGCCTGGCCCAGCAGCGCAAGGGGAGACTAATCTGATGTAAAAAGTCCAGATAATCCACTGGAGGCAACATCCCAGCAGAGCACTGGGAAGAGTACACAAGGCAACTCCCCAGGCACAGCTTTGCCGCTCTCAGCCCCGGAAGTGCTAGGGAACATTGTCTAAAACCAGTCCTGCTACCCAAAGCTCCCTGGAGCACCACAGCCTCACTGGCTGGGGATGCTCTGCCCAGCACCTCGCCATCCTCCTCCTGCTCACCAATCTCACTGATGAAGGCTTGCACGATGTCCTTGCTGCTGTCACTGGGCTGCACTAGGCTGATGAGCGGCTGATGTCTCCACGGCCGCGCAGGAGGTGCCCTGGCAGGCAGGCTGCTCTCTCGACCTGCTTTTAGTGGTGCTGCTGTGGCCTGGGAGACGGTCTTGTGGCTGGGGGGCTCCTGCTGGGCAGCTGCCTTGGTCTCCAGCGGGGCCTTCTCCGCTGGCCCCTTGCCTGGCCCTGCAGCTTCCTCCATGGGGTGGAGGACAGGAGACTCCGCAACAGGGACAGCGGCAGGGGACACCTCGGTAGGGCTAGAGATGACAGCTGGGGGGGCCTTTGTGAGCTGGGTGGAGGCTGGAGCCAAGGGCTCCTCCAGGGGCTGGGTACAGGCAGCCGGGGGGGCT